AAATTGTGATATCATATGTATTAAGTAATTTAATAATATGACTTAAACTACATTATTAACTCTAAATTTTTATTTCAAACTTTATTCTCCCTATAATTCCTCAAAAAAGATTGATGTATTAAAATATTTAAATTATAAATAATAACAATCAACAAATCTAATCTTACCATTTCATCTCAATTATATTTAAAACAAAATAAAATAATAGTTAAACTACTGACAAGTAAGTCCGCTGTAGCACTCTGGCAATTCCTAATATACAAGTTCAAATCTCGGCAGCGGAATTCTTTTTAAAACATTTTTTTACACGTGCGTTTCCACACTCGTGCAATTCTCATCTCTGCCCCGTCTCCTCTAAAACCCAAAACCCTAACCGCTTCTTAACTCTGCTCCTCACTAGCGAACGACACTGTTGAGGAAACGCCCGGAAACCGAGTCCGAGGAATTCGAGATCTTGACTAAATCAGATTGGAGTTCAGAAAAAATTTTTTTTTTTTTTCTTTCCTAGGTGAGTAACAGATCGAATTCAGTCATTCAATTTGTCTTTTTCATATTTTCCTCCAATTTTTTGTTTGAATGTCTTATTTATACAAATGAATTTGCTTGTTAGTTTTATAGCTTCAAATTTGTCTCCGCAGAATTCTGTAACTGAGTTTAGTTTACGAAAATGATTGACAACGATTTGTTGATATCAAATCCTCACGTTGAACTGACTATTGAGCCTTTTATATGTATCCACTTTTTTATGCTCCTGCCGAATCAATATGCATCCCATGTTATATGACTGTTGTGAGGCTTTGTTGTCCTCATTGAATCATTTTCCTTTAGTTTAACCTTTGATTGGAAAAAAAATGGGATTTCTGATTGATTTCCTAAGTATGACGTTTGAACAGTAATTTATATTGCTGTAGGTTGTGAATAGATTGTTAATGGAACATCTGAATATGGGTCGAGAAGGAAAAAGCAGAAAAGAATAGAAAGAAATGATTTGGATTATGTTTACTGTTACTTATTATCATCTTGTTTCCAATAACGGACCATTTAGTGATGAAAATTGAAAATTAGTGTACTTATATCAATTTCGTTTTGGCAGATTAGCTTTTGAAGATGGTGCAATATAATTTTAAGGAGATTACTGTGGTACCAAATGGGAAGGATTTCATTGACATTATTCTCTCTCGTACCCAATAGCAGACACTGACTGTTGTACACAAAGGTCATGCCATTTCTCGCCTGAGGCAGTTTTACATGCGTAAAGTGAAATACACTCAGCAGAATTTTCATGAGAAGCTCTCAACAATTGTTGATGAGTTCCCTCGATTGGATGATATCCATCTGTTCTACAGGGACCTTCTTTACGTGCTTTACAACAAAGATCATTATAAACTCGCTCTTTGCCAGATAAATACAGTAAGAAACCTTATTGGTAAGATTGCTAAAGATTATGTGAAGCTGTTGAAGTATGGTGACTCTCTTTACAGGTGCAAGTCTCTCAAGGTTGCAGCTTTAGGACACGTGTACAGTGATAAAGAGGATTAGCCCAAGTTTGGCCTACCTAGAGCAGATTAGACAACACATGGCAAGGCTGCCTTACCTTATATTTACCCTAACACTCGGGCAATCTTGATTTGTGGGTATAGTAATGTTGGCAAGAGCTCATTTATGAACAAAATCACCAGCGCCGATGTGGATGTCCAACCTTATTTTATCCTTTCACTACAAAGTCACTCTTTG